AGTGGGGAGTGGCCAAAAATAGCTTGTACCTGCTAAGTACCTGTTTGTTTGCTTTTAACAGGGCTTACAGTACATAATGGCCAGTTGCCGCTTAATGCTCTACTAAATATTTCACCCCAGCCATCGTTACGCACAGTACTAAGGCTCTGAAGGCACGAAAAGGCGTCTTTCTCTGGAGATATGTAGCTTGAATCGCTGTCTCAGAGCACCTTCCCCAATTGTTAACAGGCGCCTTGGCTAGTCAGGCACCGTTATGCATCTCAGCCCTAGTGCACCCATATTTGGTGGGAATTGCCCCCGGATTTGGTGGCAATCTCGCATGCGTTCCTAGATCTCTGGGTCGATAGTCTGAGCGTCCACACCATTAAAAACCAAATACTTTTCAGTTCAATTTCCACCATTTTACTCTAGTTTTTCTGGTTCTGGGCAAAATGATCGTATTTTTATGGCGATTTGGGTACGAGACGATGAGTTAACCATGGAAACCCATGGAAATCGATGGAAGCTAGCGTAGAGGCCACGGTGTCCACATTGCCGCTGGCTGGGTCGGTCGCTGGCTGGGTCGGTCGGTCGGTGGTAGGGCCGGTCGCACTGCGCCCGCTCGGTGATACGCTTCCTTGCCTGCTTCATCAGTGTTGCTGCCGGTATATGCTGTGCGAGACCAGATGGATATGGAAGATTTTGATTTTGAGAATTTTGACGATGATTACGATCTTCGAACCCCCGGAAGAACCAGAAGTCCCAGCGTAAATACCCCCACCGAAGAGCCCAACCGAGCCGACACTGCAACGCCTACGAATCGACTCCCACTGCTGCGACTGAATGACTGGGAGGCCGACAGGCAATATGACAGAAGTAACCCAGTCTGTATCCATTACGATTTCGTATGGAAAGTGTCCCTCCGTGAAAATATTAGACGACGGCCGATTACCGGAAACGATCAGCCGGATGATCTTGTCCTTGCTCCGAGTGTTTTCTGGAAGGAAATATTCCAAGCACAGCTTGAGAGTACCATAGCGAGTGACGAGAGACTTCCAGGACGAGAATATACGTGCGAAGAGACCATCGTCGCTATATCGATCGAGAATACACGCGGCCGTGGCCTGAAAGACAAGGTGTCAGGCCACAACATTAGATGGAGCGTTGTTGACCAGCACCTCGAAAGTCTTGCTATTCTGTTTAAGGCAGGTAGGAAGATAACATTCTCCCTAGAATTTGTGTACAAGGAAGTTACCGATCAGTCTGCCACGGGCGCACGATCTGGGAAGAAGAAAAGAAAAACCCAGAGCGAGGTCCAGAAGGAGAAGATGGTCGCTGAGTCAGGCCTCTGGAATCGCGTTTACAAACGCAATCGCTGTAGAGCCAAATACTGCAAAAAGAGGCCGCATTGTCTGGTAGATCACCAGGGGAATCACCGCAAGCTGCATTACAAAGATCTCAAGGCTATCAATGACCATTACAAGGATAACATGAAAGAGGGCGAAACATTTGCTGACGTTGATATCACCGGTCCAATCCCCTCGCACATCTTTGAACAGATCTTGAGTAGATCTGATGACTCCGAGGGTGATCCTGCCGAAGAGCTCAACAAGTACTTCACTTTCCTCCTGACTGAAGTGCAAAGTGATAGGAACAGAGCAGAATTAGAGGCTGGAATGAAGTTTGCCAGAGAGCAGTGCTTTGAGTTGAACTCCATGGAGGAGCATCCTCAGATGGTCGTCACTGCAATGGTGAGGGGGAATGTTAAGTGCGGCAGTGCTTTGCACATGGTTGGGAACATAAAGAGATATAAGAAAGCAGCAAGCATCATGCGACGAAGAAGTTAAACACGGGATAATTTTGTCAATTTTGTCGATTTATTTTTCCTATGTAACTAAGCTTATATATGTACTGTTTGTGGGCAGGACCCGCGTACGGCTGTTGCCGAGTTTGATAAAGCGCGTCATTTTTTATTCCGGATATGTGATAGGAATTCCAGCATGATGAAACAGCTGCTTAGCCAAGTCCTCGTCATCTCCAACCACCTCGACACACCACTCCAGAAAGAACTTGAAATCGTACTCCGCAACCTCCTGGTTCTCTTTGTATGCTTTCTTAATAAATGTCTTGAGATTGGCAAAAATTTCCTCGCACGGGTTGAAGTCCGGAGAATATGGCGATAGCTCCGTATATTTCACACCCGCCTCGTCGCACATTTGCTGGATTTTCGGTGAACGATGGACAGATGCATTGTCCCTGATTATGACCGAGTTTCGTCCGGGAAATGGTTCGCAAAAGTGAAGAAGCTCGGATATAAAATCTTCAATTACGAATTTGTCAGTTGAGCCTTGGTATACCCGATACATGAGGATGCCGTCCTGCGTAACGGCTGGTAGTATCTGCCATTGTCTCCCGCGCTTTAATTTATTGTACTTGATGGGTGTTTTTCCCTTCGGCGCCCGCCCTGAGTGTCGGAGACAGCCAAGAGCATTAGTGCCAGCCTCATCAAAGTAAACAATCTGATATGACTGGACGTCGAGTTTTGCAAGTCTGTATAGATAATAGTCTCGAAGATCTTCATCTCGCTGTTGGGCAATGCGACGCATTTTCTTTCGTGGCCAGTCCTTCAAAACTCGGACGACTGCACTTGGCGAAACTTTGACATCGAATTTATCCAGCAACATCTGTACCATCTCTTCTATATGTAACTCGGGATCGTCGGTCAGTTGGTCACATAAGTACTTCTTCATTTCGGGCGTTATTCGGCTGCGCCGCCCGGCGCGGGTTTTTTGTTGCGGCATTTCGCTTCTAGGCAGTTTGCGATGCTGTTCGAAACGCTGGACGGTTCGAGCGCTGCATAGATTCGCAGAGACAATATCTTGAGTCGAGAAACCTTTTTTTAGCATAGAAAAAATCTGATCTCGGATTTCTTCACTTAATGGTGGCGCCATTGTCAGTTTTGTAGGGCTGTTTTTGACGTGACTGATGTTGAAAGGCAGAAACCGAGTGACCTAGTGGAAACAGGCAACTTCCAGTGGTTACTCTTAGTGTCTGTTACAGTGGTAGGATGGAGGTACTTCCAATACCCAGAAGGTCAGCAGCCAAAAATAGCGGACGTCCCTCCCCACCTTACTACTAAAACTAACTAAATGCAACCGCGACACCCATTTCGGTTTTTACGGTAAGGTCTGACACATTGTATTTTTTAATACTAGTCATTCAGGGT